CATGTATAAATGTACAAATAACTATTGTCTATCACCTCAAATTTACACATAAAATTAATAAGAACAAAAAACTAACAAGCGTTTAACAACTCAGTTCGATTACATCGATAAGTATATTTTTAGAAGGTTTATATTTAGTTATATTAATTATATTATTTTTGTTTATTAGTTTGTTTTATATTTATTAGTACGTGTCACAACTTAGTTATTATTCATATTATTTTTTATATTTAATATTTTTTTTAAAACTTTATCTTGTTCTTTCACATGTTCTTAACTGTAGATTTATCAAAAAAGACATAATATAAAGAATAGAATTTTTTCGATCATCTGGCTAATTATATATCAAATATTTGTATATCCTATATTATATTACATTTAATTACAATTTTTTATTAATATTTTAATTAAATATTTACAATTCATAAATTCATTAATAATATTGTCGAGTCAACTTTTGTTCATAAAATTTTTAAAAATATATTATTTTCATTGATTTGCTTGTGCTGAATTGAGAAAAGTTGTGTTTTTTAATTACATATAGGGAGGATATAAGATTTTTTATATTTTTTTATGTAGTATTTATTGAGTAATTGTGTTTACAACTTTTCTATTAAAAATATTTTAAAAACGTGAACTTTTTAGTTCCTATAATTTTATTTAGAAATCACTCATTATTTTATCCCAAGATTACCTATTAATTTACCAATTGAGTTACATTTCTTAAATATTAAATATTATATAATTAAAATATTTCTTGTTTTATTTGTTCAATATGATACTTATATATTATATTAAGAAAACTAATATAGTAAATAAAAAAGTTATTTAAAGTTAGAATAATAAAGATTTTTTCTAATGTATATGTATAAATGTACAAATAACTATTGTCTATCACCTCAAATTTACACATAAAATTAATAAGAACAAAAAACTAACAAGCGTTTAACAACTTAGTTCGATTACATCGATAAGTATATTTTTAGAAGGTTTATATTTAGTTATATTAATTATATTATTTTTGTTTATTAGTTTGTTTTATATTTATTAGTACATGTCACGACTTAGTTATTTTTCATATTATTTCTTATATTTAATATTTTTTTAAAAACTTTATCTTGTTCTTTCACATGTTCTTAACTGTAGATTTGTCAAAAAAAAACACATAATATAAAGTATAGATTTTTTTCGATCATCTGCCTCATTATATATCAAATATTTGTATATCCTATATTATATTATATTTAATTACAATTTTTTAATTAATAATTTATTTAAATATTTATAATTCATAAATTCATTAATAATATTGTCGAGTCAACTTTTGTTTATAAAATTTTTGAAAATATATTATTTTTATTGATTTGCTTATGTTAAATTGAAAAAAGTTATGTTTTTTTTAATTATATATAGGGAGGATATAAGATTTCTTATATTTTTTATGTAGTATTTATTGAATAATTGTGTTTACAATTTTTCTATTAAAAATATATTAAACACGTGAACTTTTTAGTTCCTATATTTTTTTTTTTTTTCAGAAATTACTCATTATTTTATCCCAAAATTACCTATTAATTTACCAATTGAGTTACATTTCTTACATATTAAATATTATATATTTAAAATATTTCGTGTTTTATATGTTCAATATGATACTTATATATTATATTAAAAAAACTAATATAGTAAATAAAAAAATTATTTAAAATTAGAATAATAAAGATTTTTTT